CCATTGATCAATAACAAGAAACATCAAGCAACTAGAATCAAGAGAGAATCAAAGAGAAAGTATCAAACCTCAAGTTTGAGCATTTCAAGCCTATTTTTCATTCAATATTCATTTTGCTTTCAAGAACACTTATTGTGCTCAATTGTATTCATTCTTGAGTGTTCTTTTCTTTGTTCTAGAATTGTGAAACAATCTACCTTGTGAGGATTTCCTTGTAAGTTTGCAAATTTGTATTGCTCTCTTTGGGAGAGAGTGTTCTCAAGAATTTGGGGTATAATTCTTGAGGGTTTCTAAGGTTACTTTTTGTCCTCAAAAGAAAGACAAATTAGTGAATTTGTGGAAAATACTTAGTGTGGTTAGCTAAGGTAGTGGACGTAGACTTTGGTTGAGAAAGTCAAACTACTCTAAATCGCTGTGCAAATTTCTTTCAATTTTCTGCAAAAGCTTCCACCAAAATTTTAATTGCCAATTCACCCCCCTCTTGGCCATATTCGTCAATCGATTAACTCAACATTTTGTTTAGGAAAATTTTTGGCAGTTTCACTCCTTATATGATACTATATTGAACTGTCATATTGCTGCCTGAAATCAAACTTGATTTGAATGTCAAAATATTATATTTTTGTTTTATGCGATTAAATATTTTTAACGTTTGAAGTTAAATATGATGATTTAAAAAAATAAAATGTTATCAATTTTGGATAAGAAATATTTTAAAATGCTTGATGAGACATCTCTGACTCGTATTCGGTGATGGATAAGGAAAAGAGGTGTTACAATAAGTTGAACCTAAGCCTCTTACATGAAATGCATGTCACTCAACCTTTGAGTTAAACTAGTAATTTAATTTAATTTCATCACATTTTGTATTTAACTTATATAATAATATATAATATCATCACAAAATCAATATTTTCAATGATTATAAAAATCGAATATTTGACACTTTAAATTAATGATCGAAAGTTTAGTCATTTAAATATAGTGTGAATCTATTTTTATTATATAAAACTTAATACTTACTTATATCACTTTATTTGGAAAAATAATTATATAATTATTTTCATATATTTTTAAAATTTATATAAAATAATTCTAAAAAGTATATTTATAATATTATGAAAATATTTATTTAATCTTTAAAATAATATTATTTTTTTATTTATTTGAAATAAGATTATTTTTAGATTATCTATTTAATTTTAAATAATATTATATGTAGCCAAGTTGATAGTTGGATACTAAACGTATAAGTTACCCTAAATAATATTATTAAATTAAATTATTTTTTCAAAAAAATAATTAATTTGATTTTAAAAATTAAATAAATATATTTATAGTATTATAATATACTCTTTAATATTTATTTTACAATTTTTTTATAAAATTATATAAATTTTTTAGTTATTTTTTATTTCTAAATAAAGTGAAAAGTTAGTCTTTTAATTTAATAATGATATAAGTAAGTATTAAGTTTATTATATAAAAAAATCACACCATAGTTGAGTGACTAAACTTTTGGTCTGGAAACTATTTTTCGTAAAATGAATTACATTTTCTGAAATAGATTTTACGGTATTTGAAAAAAGGATATTTAAACCATTTTACCTAGTTGAAAAAATTATTTAGAAATTATTTATTACAAATATTAAATAAAATAAATAATATTATTTATCATAAAAACTTAATATTATTATATTTGAAATATTAGAATAATTTATTTATTTAATATTAAAATATTATTTCTATAATTTTATTAAAATATTAAGATTGGTACATTCTATTGAAATAAAAATATTATAAATTATATTAATTATTTATGAAAGTAATAGTATTATATTATATTTTAAAATATAATTAGATTAATATTAAATAAATAAATAATATTATTCATTGTTAATAATTTAGTAATATTATTTCTATGAAATTAATAAATAATATAAATTTTATTAATCATTTATTATATATTGTTAAAATAAAAATATAATACCTTATATTATTATAATATAATTGATTATATTATTATAATATTAGAAAATATAATATTATATTATTATAAATATTTTAATAATTAATATTTTGTTTAAAATGATATTCAAATATTATATTAATATTAAATTCATAAAATAAAATTATTTTTATTATTTATTCTTTGAAGTGAAAATTTCGGAAAATTACTTACAGAAAATCAAACTGTAAGCCATTTTCCAGAAAATGTAAATGTGTAATCACCATTTTTATCCCCTATATATATTTATTATATTATTATATTATTATTTATAAAAAATACAAAAACATATGGAAAAAGAAAAAGTTAAACAAAAAAGAACAAAATCCTTTAATATTTGGGGCATTCAATGCCCTGACTATTGAACTAATTGCTACCACATATCCCTACCATCCACAGCTGCTAACATGTCTGTCTAATCAGCACCAAATCATATCAAATCCTCCATATCAGTATCACATGAAAGAAAAAAAAAGACACAAAATATGTAATTTTGAATTTTGATTGTAACAATGAGGGTTAATATAAAACTCTTTCCCATTTTTTTTTCAAAACAGAGAGCAAGAAATGAGCAATAGAAATTACATACCTTTAAAAAGTTTTATTCATTTTTTTAATTTTTTTAGTAGCATTGTTTTTTTATTTCATACGATTTTCTAAGTAAAACTAAGAGTTAGGGAAAGGTCATTTTGTTTACCTGAGACGTTCGAGTTCCCTCTCGGGAGTCTAAGATGCTCAGGCGAGGTCACTGTTGCCAAGGAACGATAGGTTGCATGGTGTTGGATCCCTTTGATCTGTTCATGGTCACTTGGGGTTCCTTTTTTCTTGTGGTCTTAAATTTGAAGAATATGGAATTTAGTTTGAATTTAGATAAAAAATGGTTAAGAGCATACTTTTGTTCTCATTGTGCTTAAGTTTTAATAAAAAATATAACAAGGAATGAGGGTGTAGTTGATGTTTTTTTGGATTAAAATGAGGGTTTTGGTATGAATAAGGGATGGACTCGTTTATTTTTTGGGGTGTTTTGATCTAAAAAGATTAAAGAAAGGGAATTTAGAGTGTTTGTGAAAAAAAAGAGAAAGAAAGAAAAGGAGAAGGAACGACGCTTGAAAGAAAACAAAGGGAATGGGTTTTCATGCGTGAGAACTAGGGTTTTGGACTCTTTGAAATTTTTGGGTTAATTACCATGAGGGTCCCTAATGTTTTATGTATTTGTGGCATTGAACCTATGTTTTCCTTTCTTCCATTTTGGTCATCATATCTGTCTTTCTTTTAGCTTTAATTTGAATAACTTTAATTTGAAATGCCTGTCCTAGTGTCGATATTTTGCATTTTTTATTTTCATTAAATAATTAGAAATAAATTTAAGGGTTATTTTTGTTTAGATCCCCCTACATTTGCCTGTTTTTACAAAATAGTCACATGTTATCCTCTTTCTGTGATACATTCTTGTCGTAACCATTTTTCGGGTGGAACAATCGTTTATTGTTTTAAGAACAGTTACGATTTTTAATTTTTGGAAAATTGGGTGATTTTGAATTGATTTGGATTAATTTGGATAGAGTCGTCATCAACCTTTGGACTAGGTAGATCGAATACCTAAAATGTCTAAAAAAACAATTTTAAGAAAAATCATATTTTAAGACAGAAATTGGTCTGCGATTTTCAAATATTCAATTAAAACGGGTTTGGGAGTCGGTTACGCGTGGGGAATGATTAGCACCCCCACAACGCCCAAAATTGGTACTGTTTAGCTCACACGTTGTCGTAATAGAAAAAAATCATGAATTAAATATAAAATTAAATTATGATCCCTTATAACAATAATGATGTAAATTTTACGATATTCAAAAGCACCAAAATATATTAAATTATCCAACCTTTAGAAAGATAAATACTATTTGATTATTAAAAATATCGAGACCATGTCTTAAATGAGATATAACAACCTTTTCTAGACAAATTTAAATAGTCGAACATTTCTTTTTCTTCCGTTCCCAAATTTTAAAATAATGAATCAATTTTAGGTGTCACTATGAGATGCACTTTTAATCTTAAATTGTCAAAAGAGGACCTCTAATAGGTTAATACAATCCATTTAAAATAATTTTAAATAAAAAGGGTATTACCCTTAATCCAATTATGTAATTATATGTTTAAGTTATACACATGAGGTTGTCATACATATTATACAAAACTAATATAATGTGATCAACAATATTAATATACACATATATATCTACAAGTTATACAACACGCACATGTATATAAGATATAGGAAACAATCATTTGTACATCACGCATATAGGAAAAAGATATATATACTAACACAATGAATATAAACAGTACTTAGTAAGAAGCAAATGACATGCACAACATATATGTATATTTGTATTTTATGAATAATAAGTTTATTACATATTAAGGGCACCAGAGTCTTAATAATCATAAAACAGGGAATAGACTAAAACAAAAATCATGAAAACAATATGCACAAAATATAAACAACACAAAATATAAGCAACACATGATATAGACCAAAATGGAAATCAACAAAATTACATACCGAATGTAAAAATAGACAGAAGTTTAACTAAAATAGGGGACCAAAATTAAACATTCGTGAAATAAAAAGCTAAATAGTAAATACATATGTTTTTACTCAGGGACCAAAATTAAACGTATATAAACTATAGAGACAAAATTATTAACATGCGAACATTAATTTGATGACCTAAATGAATTACAAATAAAAATAAGATGACCCTGATATAAAATAACCCCAAAAATTATAACTAAAATCTAAATCTGAAAAATAACTAAATCAATACAAACACCTATGGATAAATTTGAAATCAATCCTTAATAATGATTAAAGTGTAAATAAGCGGTAAACTTTCAGTGACCTTAAATGAATTAACGTTAATAAATTAATATAAAACCCTATTTTTTCACTACCCTAATCTAATTTCAAACATAAGCACACTGCCGCATTATCCTTCTTCTCTTCCTCCCTCGATCTTCTTCGCACGAGAGCTTCGAAGCTCTCCCATATCGCAAACTGCCAAGACCCAATGGTTACCTCAGCCGTTCGGAGCCCCAAGCCTTATCTCCGGCCACCGTACCTCATCTCTCACGACCGAACCTCTCATCCTTTAACCCGAGCAGCTTCAAACACCGTTAATAGTGAGGATTCAACTCCGGCCACCATTTGAGCTACCTAATAACACCTAATCTAACCTTAACATCAACCTCCTTCCTCTAACTCTAATTTCCTACTTCGCAGCCAAACGCCCTTTAAGAATTCGTCACCACCGTAAATCAACGCTACATACCCATTGACCTTAAGGTAATTTCGTTCACTCTCTTCCCCTTCCTTTACTGTTTTTAAGATAAAAAATATTCACTAACCCAAACTCATTTTCTTTTACAAGGGAATTCAAAAGACGATGAAATGGGATTAATGAAAATTCCATATGTGTTCGTCAACACAGGTAAGCAAACCGCAAATCTCTTTTTTTAGTTTCAAAATAATAATAGCACATACAAAAAAAAACTAATTGGAAAGCAAAAGAAATTTTAAAATACCTTGAAACAAAACAATAGTTATATCACCTTTTCTGATTTTGAATTGTGTGATTACACACTTGTTTTTCCTTTTTATTACAATGAATTCCCCTTTGTTGTTGAAGAACCGACCCTTACAATCTGTTTTCACTCCCTTATTTTTTGAAATGCTTTGTTTCGTTTTTGGTTGCCTTCTTCTCTTTCTCTCTTCTCCCCTTTTCTCTGGTTCCTCCTCGATTTTATTGTTGAAATCTTCACCGAATCTCCTTGGATGCATTTGCAGTTTCTTTGTTTTTGGTATGATGTTGATGGGTTAGGTGAAATCATTAATTGTGCTTGACTTTGGTGCATGTGACTTGATTAATTCGATTGAAATGGCCCGAGCTGTTGGTGAGGATAAGATCTTGTCGTTAACACAGAGGCTAATTGGAGTTGGTGGTGGCTTTAGCTGATGGCTTTTAGGGTTTTATAACCCTAATTCAACTGGGCCGGGTCTACTATTTGGATCTGAATTTGGGTCTTGGGTGTTGTTATCTGCTGGGCTGCTGATGCTTGTAATCTGGGCCAAAGTTGGGCTTCAGGTTAACTGTTGTAACTGGGCCTGCAAATGTAATAATAATAATATTAATAATAGTAATAGTAATAATAATAATAATAATATAAACCCAAACAAAAACGGGTGTCTACAGCTGCCCTTCTTTGCACATTCTTGTGTTAACAAGAATAGGGAAAAGACGAAAAAGACAACCAGTTTTTGTCTGATTTTCTTTTTTTAGCGTGTGATTTGAATATCCTTCGTTGTAAAGCATTGGATTGAACAAGTTCTTCTCATTATGAACTTCTTCTCTCTTATTGGATGAGTTCTTCTCATTATGAACTCTTCATTGGAAATACTGATGCAAGGCTGAACAAGTTCTTCTCATTATGAACTTCTTCTTCCTCTTTAGATGAGTTCTTCTCATTATGAACTCTCCACTGTAAATTTTGATCCACCTCCTTCTGTGATGGAATCGAATCAAAGTTTAACAAGTTCTTCTCATTATGAACTTATCCTCCCTCATTGGACTAGTTGTTCTCATTATGAACTCTCCATTAAAAATGTTGAGTCACCTCATTCTAGGGTGAACTTGAAAGGAAGGTTGAACAAGTTCTTCTCATTATGAACTTATTCTTCCTCTTTGGATGAGTTCTTCTCATTATGAACTCTCCACTGGAAATATTGATCCATCTCCTTCTGTGGTGAATTTGAAAGGAACAAGTTCTTCTCATTATGAACTTTTTCCTTTAGGACGAGTTATTCTCATTATGAACTTTTTGGAAATGTCAATCCCTCAAGCGAGGCGTCACTGATTCAAAATGCCGTGAATCGAGTGATAGGTCGAACAAGCTCTTCTCATTATGAACTTCTTCTCCCTCTATCGGATGAGTTCTTCTCATTATGAACTCTCAATTGGAAATGTCAATCCCTCAAGCGAGGCATCACTGATTCAAAATGCCGTGAATCGAGTGATAGGTCGAACAATCTCTTCTCATTATGAACTTCTTCTCCCTCTGTCGGATGAGTTTTTCATTATGAACTCTCAATTAGAAATGTCAATCCCTCAAGCAAGGCGTCACTGATTCAAAATGTCATGAATCGAGCAACGAAAATTTTGAAAACATTTATCACTGAAGGTATTATCATCTTTCTCGAAAGACTTACAGATGACCCGAAGGATTTAAGCATCATGCTTAAAAGACTTACTGATGACCCGAAGGATTTACACATCATGATCGAAAGACTTACTGATGACCCGAAGGATTTAAAAATCGAGAAACCCCTTAAGGCTTAATTTCTAAAATCTCATTTGAAAACATCATGCACTGAAGGTCTTATAGATGACCCGAAGGACTTACAAACCCCTGAAGGCTTAGTTTCTAAAAAACACATTAGCTGGGTAACATGCCCCACTTCAAAAATGATGATTGTCCTATGTATTGGGTTCCTTAATTCTTGAGGTTCTGCCACTTGGAATATAATTCCCTTTATTCAAGGCTTGAAATTTGTCTTTTTCTTCTCTTCTTTCTTGGAAAATGTAAAAAAAATGAAATATGAATGCAACATGTAATGCATGACTTTCTTATATGCAAATGATGTTCTTATGAATGCAAAAATATTGATGCAATCTTCATTTGACTTCAAAGTGGTGAACTCGGTCTTCCTTCACTTAGTCAAAATGTCATTTCAAGTTGGCATTTTTGGTGAACCATCTAATCCACTTACATCTTTGTGTTTTCTTTGTTTTAAAGTCTCAAAAGAAATGTTTCATTTATGGAACTCTTTTCATAGTAAGAATTATAATCTTGATGCCCCATTTTATCCTGGATAACACCAGCTTTTTTTGCTTGGACTTGTGTAGAAATCCAATAAAGCTTTTATCTTTGAAAAGAGAATATATCATCTTTGAAAAATGTAGATGTAGATATGTCAAACTCAATTGAGATTAATTAGGAGAGCAATGTCTGTTCTAATTTGACTCTTGAAACACATCACAAGGAAGATTTATCCTAATTCCTTTCATGTCTCCACATCTAATCAGTTATCGAACAAGGTAACTTGGATCATATCATGTCGAGATGCTTAACAACAACTTGTTGTTCAATTTTAGTTGGCTCCACTAGTTTCTTGTTGTTAAAATTCCAGCTTCCCTTCCATGGAAAGAAATCTTCATCATATCTCACTTCTAACCTTGTGGTTGAAGAAGAAAAACTTTATCTTGAGTCCACAAATAGAAACACCATATAATCGCAACTTTGGCTTAACACCATAATCACTAGTTCGTAAAATATTTGACAACACATTCATCCTTTTTGTAAGACATCACAAGAACACTTAAGGACGAAACTCAATGGGAATATAAGTGGGATGCTTTGGCTTACCAGCATTAAATCACCAAAATAATACAACTTCCTGATGAACAAAGCAATTATGTATAGTTAGCTCCACTGTCACTGATTTATCATTTTCATTCTTCATATCTTTTTATCTCATTGGAAATATTTGCTCAAATCAATGATCTTGACACATTATGATATGAGCCTTCAACATGCCCCAACATTTGCTGATATGAACGTTCAAAATGTATTCAAAATTGTTTCTTGCTGATATTAGCCTTCAAAATGAACTTTCAAAATGCCCCCATTTTTTTTTTCTGAGATGGGCCTTCAAAATGCCCCAACATTCTATTTCTGGTTGAAATGGACCTTAAAAATATCCCAACCTTTTCATGCTAGTGTGAGCCTTCAATATGCCCCACATGGATCATTTCTGTCTAAAATGGGCCTTCAAAATGCCCCACATGGATCATTTTTGTCTTTTTCATGCTGATGTGAACCTTCATGATGCCCCACATGGATAATATGGACCTCAAACCTTCAAGTCAACTTTGATAATGCCCTATTTGTGGATCATTTTGACTTTATTCGTGCTCAAATGTGTTTATCTTGAATACTCTCATTTTGGTGTTACTAAACAGAGTTCTCAAGTAACTTCGAGGGATTATCTTCATGTTATCACAAACATAAGAAATGATCAATCTTTCTAACAGAAATGACTGAGAGATGTGCTTCTTCTGAGTAAGGGGGTCATCTTCTGCTTGACTGGTTGCATTTTTTTCCTTTTTTGCTATGTACTGGATATGATCTTTTTTTTCGAACGAGACAATCATCCTCTTCTTATCAGGTTACTGATAATGTCACAAGAGAGTGTTACAAGTTCTCTCCTCTAGCCCTCCTGATCTTCCAGACCACTTGCTTTCAAGAATGTGAAGTGCTTTATCGCTCATTATTTTTCTCAAGTAGAAGCATAACATTCCTCACTTAATTCAAGAAACTTTCTCATTTGAGACTGTCTTGTTTGAAATTGTTTTCCTCCTTTCTTTATCAAAGAATAAAAGAAATTTGTAAAGTATTGTTTCTTACAGGTTCACAATAGAATCAAATCATGAGTTTAAAGAATATCAAAAGAATTAACAACTCTTTAATGTTTTAAAGTTATAGTTCTTTGATAAGTATCAAGATTTATGGGTGAGTTTCAGGTTGGCTTTCCTATTTTTTATGGTTACATCTATTGAAGATGCCACTCCTCTCTCACTCTTTGTGAACACTGCCACAAACCTCACTTTCTTGACTTGGTATTTTAACCGGATGCAGACAAAATGACGCAACTAGCATAGCCAATTACTAGACCTTCTAGAATACCTCTATTTCACTTCTCTGAAATCTTCCCTTTAACCAAAGCAATGCAAAAATATCGATCTAAAAATGAAATTTCTGTGTGCTCGTGTGTAGTTGACTATAACAGGTGTTCCTTAACTCCCTTAGTCCATCTTTACCGAAACTCTTTATTTATAAAATTTTCCATGGTCTGGCTAGCTGAGATCAGCTTTATTGTAATTTGCCTTTATCGAGCTAGCTGAAGAGTTCATCTCATCACAAAGTCTTCAACTTGACAATCGCAGTAGAGCATACACCGAATTGCCAAGTACCCAATCAAGGTCATGGTTTGAATATAATCTATTCATAAAGTCAGGGCTTTCGAGTTTCCTCTATAACCAATTATCTTAGCGAAATAGCTCAACTTTATTGTATACATATAATATAATAAGCTAGCTGAATATTATCCATAAAGCCGAGGCTATTAACCAATTGCTCTAGAGGGACAACTCAAGCTTTATTGTATATATAATAATATAACATGGATATATAACTCTTAAGAAAAACCTGTTATAGACTAGGTGGTTTGGTGGAAATCAGAAAATCTCATCGTTAGAGTTCAATTCCCAAGCAACTGACTTTACCTAATTGTGAAGATTTCATCATCGAACGTCATCAATAGAAAGTAATCTAGACAATTTCACAAAGTCACACAAAAGATGCCCCATGTTGTACGCTCATATATGTAAATACCAAGCCTTTTATCTAATTCCTTGCACTAGAGAAGGCTATCTCATATTTGTAGAAGGGTATAATGTTTGGGCATATTTCATCTGAAGTCAGGACAAGGTCCTTGTTTTACCAGTTTTCAATCTTGATAATTTGTCAACGATGTGTAACTCTAATCATAAAGAGTTTTTAATCCTGCTGATATTCAAAGAACTGCAAGATTGAAAAATTGATTCAATGCTCATAACCTTAAAAGCAACAAAAATTTATTTATTACACGAAAGGCAAAGAAAGGAACAAAAAACAAGTTCAAATAAGATGTTGAAAATAGAAAGTACTATAGTGGTAGATAACAATTTCCACTTATTTATTTAGCATGCCCCATTACTCCTAGAATATTGGGTGTGTAATTGAACCATGGTCCTTGTCCTCATTTGCCCCCCTTTCTTGATCATCTTTTGTTTCAACTTATTTAAATGCACAAATCTCTGCTTTCTCCTGAGCAGTCTCCATCATCATCTTTTTATTCCCCTACTTGAAACTGGGCTCAATTTTAGATCCAGAACAAATTTCCTTGGTGATGGCAATTTTGTCTTGGTTCTGAATGCTCATTGCATATATGATTGGGGTAGTATTCACCAGACTCCTTAAATTACCCCTATCTCACTTGTTT